TTTCATTGGGTCTCTGGTGGAGAGTTGTCTCATTGGCAGTCATACCACATCTTCTTATTTTTATACAAATGAATATTGTTCTATTGAAAAACAAACGTCGTTGTGTTTGGGCTTATAATTTGGGAAGAGATGATAAGAGATCTGGATTAACTGCCGAGTGAATGTGGTTCTAAACCGATATTTTATATAATCTTATGGCCTAGACGTTTTTTTTATATATATATAACAAGATTACAATTCACAAATGTTTGTCATTAGGTCTCTGGTGGAGAGTTGGCTCATTGGCAATCATACCACATCTTCTTAATTTTATACAAATGAATATTGTTCTATTGAAAAGCAAACGTCGTTGCGTATGGGCTTATAATTTGGGAAGAGATGATAAGAGACCTGGAAGAACTGCTGAACCGATATTTTATATAATATTATGGCCTGAAAGTTCATTTGCATATATAACAGGATTACAATTCACAAATAAGCTCGGTTGTTGGGTAGTTAAACATACAGAATATTTACTCTCTCTCCTAACTGTTTTCAGCATATTTTAATTTCAACAACAGCAATTACGTCAGCGAAATTATATTGTGTGAAATTCTTCGTTCTGTTGTAATCCTTGGAAAACTGTTGCCATACCAACCACATTTTTTTTTTCAATAAAAAATAACAAATGCTTTTTAAAATTGACGTGTTGTTCATTAATGTCTGCCAAACGATCGACTTGTCTTCAGCTTTGTCGCGGAATGATTATTTCTGTAATTGAAAATCGTTACATTGTCATTCCGACACACGATTTATATTTATAATACTCCGGAAAAAAGCGGATGAGAAAAATTAAGCGCCATGACTCATATTCTGCAAATCAAATCCGATCGGATTAAAACATGAAGTAGAAATCTTTTGTCTTCCATCAAAAATCAATGAATATCTTATTTTATAAAAGAATTCTTATGAAAAAAATCCTTTCGTCTAGAGAATTGAGTAGGATATGATTTCAAAGGAATAATATCCTTGGTTACCGGGCTTACACGTGAGGACAATATAAGAATGAACTTGTCGCCATCTTCAGATTTATATAATCTCAGGTGGAATGAGATGAAAAAGAAGACACAATAACTGTTTGAGACACAACCAATGATATGCATATGCGCAACAATGCATTTGTTTTACAAGTACTCTACGAATGGATTGCTTCTCACTTTTATTTTCAGTTTTTTTGTTGTTGACTCTCATTTTACAGTTCTGATCTGTAAATTAACTATTATTGATTCCATTAACGTTATTACAGTAAAAACACGTTCCTTTGAACAAATACTTATTCTCCCTTTTTCCCACGATGTAGTTATTTTTTTCTAAAAGAAGCGTGTGAATTGATTGGTATATATGTATATAGATAATTGGTCCGTTTTTGTGTACTTGTCTGGTTTGTTATGCCATGAAATGCTTTATATTGTTTGGACGTATGTTGAATGTTTTGTTTAGAAATTTTGAATGGTTGTCGTTGGTTGTTGTCTATCATGGCATATTCATTTTTCGTTTAGGGAGCTACCATTTGATTTTTATAATAATAATAATAATAATAAATTCTTTATTTAAAGAGGGTAACTAAATTAGAAGTAGTCTAATTTTCATTGAGGCCCTCAAACAGGATAAAATTTGAAAAAAAAGGCAGGACAGGAGTTTTGAGTAAAAAAAAAGGCAGGATGAGCAACTTGGCAAAAAAAATAAAGGCAGGATGACAATTTATGTAAAAAAAGTCAGGATAAACTAATAAAAAAAAAGGCAGGACCGAATAGAGTGAAAAATAAAAAGGCAGGATAGAGATTACAACTAAAAAAATGCAGGACAAAATTTTTCATCCTAGCCCCCCCCCCCCCCCCCTAAAAATCAAATAGTAGCTCCCTTATTGTTTTGTCATAAATATGAATTGTTAAAAACATTTCGTCATATCGGGTCCTTTTAAGTATACCATGTGTCAATCATTAGCAAATAATAAAACTTCAAGGGGAAATCATTTTCGTCAATGTCTCAAAATAAATTTCTTCTTCGATTTCGGTTTAAGGGACATTCGAGATTATAATGGAAGAGAAGTTCTTTATGTGATCGACATCTACATTTTGGATCGTTTGTAGCATTAATTTTGTTTGATCTTCGTTTAATGAATATCCCAGATACTTAGACTACTCTGTGGCTTTTTAGATAAAAGTCAAAAAGAAATTTAATGAATAAAAGCTAACTTTCTTACGCTGTCTTTGCATGGAGAACGAACTATATTTTGCTGTCCATTCCGCACATCACTTTATCTTTCCTTCACATGCGATTTTATTTTTTGCATGTTCGAATAAATAAACTATCCAGTTATTTATTGAACCTTGCAATATAAAAATAAGAAGATGTGGTATGATTGCCAATGAGACAGCTCTCCACCAGAGACCAAAATGACATAGAAGTTAACTATTATATGTCACCGTACGGCCTTTAAATAAATAAATAATCTTTATTTCAAGAGGATATTATAATCCCATTAGTTAAAACTAATCTTCCTGAGAGTCCTCAAAGCACTGAGTTAGGATTTGTATAATCTATAACTAGCTATACAATCCTTGTTTTTTTGAAAGAAAGTTTTAACATGGTTCCTTTAGTGTAAAGAACAACCCTTTAATTAGATTTATTCATCTTTCCTTTCTCGTATTATTACTTCCCTTTGTCGTATTATTCCTTCCTTTCGGCGTGTTATTAATTCAATATTTCTATCAGCTTGAGAGACAAATGCATAAATGGATTTTTTCCGAAACTATCAAATACAGTTCTCAGATTAAGTCTTGTATTTTATAATGGAATTGGAGCATCAATCCAGTGACTCATAACGTAATAAAAAACATCACTGAGGTTGTCTCAGCTGCACTTTCCGATTCCAAATCAATGTTAATACATCGGAATTCATGTCTGTCGAGGCTCAAGAGGAAAGTACTATGGTTTAATCTGTAATTAAATATTTCAATAATCGTGTTCAGAGGAGCATTTCTTATTGTACAACTTTCTAATCTAATCTAGTATTCAAATTTTACTATTGTTTATCAGTATAATAAAGGTACTAGTCATGATTGAAAAAACTGAAAAAAATATTTTTGAATGCAATTCAAGACGAAGACTTAGCCTATGTTTAATTCGCCGTCTCAGAATCTAATGCACTCTGGGTAATATTTTCAAAAGTGTAAACCAAAGCATCGTGATTGATTAAAAACGTCCTATTAAAACAATTGAAATTCAACCAATGACGTGACGTTATCAAGTTTCATTTTGGGGTATACGAACAATAAAATTACCCATAAGTCCTTGAGATTCTGAAACGGTCTTATAACGGTGGTATCTCGGATTTTTTTTCTAAAATTTTGTAAGATATTTCACAGTTGAAAAGTGCATATTCGGTGCTTTTGGTGTGCATTCTATACCGTGAGTTATATGTGATAAAATTAGTTCGTCAAACTTGTAAATTCTTGTTTCTGTGGGGCTTTTAGTTTTTGATGATTATATATATGATGAGCATTTCAAGTTAGTAGAAATGCTAGTTTATCATAATATGTATGTCAAAATAATGGGATGGGTATAATTGACTACTAATTGCAATTCCACGAATGGCAGAATTTTCGAAGGGATTATTTGTATAGATTTACATGAAGTAGAATTTTAAAATTTTGAATGGTTTATAATACAGGTCGTAAGATTTGAAATAACGACTTCTTTCTTTTAGAGAGGTAAAAAATGGCAACTATGAATTTAAAACATTTGAGAACATAAGTAAAAAATGAAAACAACACGTTTTAAATTTAATGCGTCCGATGCGATTTTCTGGATTTACCTTCATCAGGAACGCTCAAAGCCGATTTTTGAAAGCCAAGGATGTATAAAACCGAAACAGTTGAGCTATATAATAAAAAATGACCTAAAATAATAGCCAAATCTTTCTAAGGCCAACTTTGCCTGAGGGAGTTGAAACCTTAGTTTCTGAATAATTTCAAAATTTATAAACGCTGGAATATTTTGAAAGGTTTGTTAAAAGTCCTCCCAAAAGACCCTTACAGCCAACTTTAAGCTGATTGTGTTGCAAAAAACTTAATCGAGTTCCGTCTACTTATTTCTTTAAATCGCTACACTGAAAGACGGTACTAAGGTCTCAGTAATTGCATTTCTCGAGAACGAGAGGTTTCTTTGGCGCTAATTGCAACATATTTGCACCACGAAAATAAAATTTTCTCCAAGACGAGGCTGTGAATGATCGGAAGTTGCATACAAATGGAAGTTTATTGTCCGTAAATTAGACTTTATAGAAAGTTTACTTAATTTGGTAGGAATTCACGTCAAATAATGAATTGTAGAGTATATACAGCAGGGACATGGTTTAGTACTCAGGGTTCAATTGAGGGATGACTGATGAAATTAAATTAGGTTAAGTTTAAATTATTTTTTTCTAATTTTTGGCATCCTGATAGATGTAACAGATTGAATCCTATACTTATAAAAACACCATTCAGGTGTATTAAGATCGATTTCAATCTGGTAGCACTTGAAATTTAGCTTTTTTTGCACAATTTTATTGTCTGTATCTGATGAAATGTTATGGGTTTTTTTTTATTTTGGCGTTAGCGTACGTGACTATATAATCATTTTGATGGCAGATTGTTTCTGTTAAATTTATTCACAATTCAGAGTAATTTCAAGAACTCTTGAAACACTGACTCTCTGAGGGGTTCGTATGAGACCTGTTTGCGAGGCAAAATGTCTGCCGCTTAAATAAACTTACCTTCATTTTCCATCAAAACCAAATTTCTCAAATCACAAACAGGTTACTATTAACATATAATAATATGCCGTGTTTCGCGGGTTTTACTGGTTATAGAGAACTCATTTCTCCCTCCTTAAATCTCGTTGGATGGAACGAGAAAATTTAAAAAAAAGAAACGTTATCAGTTTAGTGACTGGTAAGTTTATTCTTTATTTTTCAGATGAACCGTCCTATACAGGTTAAACCAGCAGACAGTGAAAGCAGGGCGGGTAAGTGTTTATTTTTTTAGATATCTGTTAGGTTTTTTTTGTGTTTATATTTGTTCGTTGTTTTTGCTTTGTTTTTACGAGACATAAATACATGCTATAGAATTTTTGCAAACCACCAGTATATTCAACATATCACTTTCGGATGTAGGGAATTAATCAAGCCCGCGAAATCAGTTTTGTCGCCGTGAATGTGATGTGCAACTTGAATATGTCATTGGTCAATGCATGGGCTTCTATATATTTAGGTTATATTCTGGCATATATCTATCCGACGCAGCTCATATGTTGTTTGCGTCTTGTGATGTATGTTGTTTATATATATAGAAGAATAATCATACCCTGATATAACTGACTCCTCTGGCTTCCCTTATTGTACGCTAGCTTTTTTCAATTTTCAAGAACGTAAGAGACATCATACAAGCGTTATCATATTAAGTACGCATGTGGGTACGGACATACCAGTCGGAATGTTTGTTTTTTCTTCGAAAATCGGTCAGTCTCCTAATCTGAAAATTACAGATGTGATTGAATATATTAATTCAACCGTTTGAGATTAAAAAGCAAACACAGTGTACTGTTTACATAACGGCACCTGCTCTCTGGTCCAAATATTTGTTTACAAAATCAATGATGTATATTGTGAACACGTGATTGTGAATTTACAGAAATCTTTACTTATTTGATCGGATAAATATTTACCTTATGAAATGTGTTTAATTATTTTGAAATTAAATATTCTGATTTATCGCCTTTTGATAAAAAAAATGTAGCTCGTTATTATTGCTGTGGAAAGATTTTATTTAATATTTCGTTAACACATTATAATAATTGTCTTCTGTTTTCATTAACACTTGGAGTTGTCTTATGTTTATAAACAGTTTTTAAGATCAAAATCTGAAATATTTAGCAAGCATAAATTGACGTAGTCCCAACAACGCAATATTGTAAAAAAAACGTTAACAGGTCAACGGTCTTTCCGCAAACAATATAGCAGTGTTTACACAATATGGCGAAGCTTTAAAACGCATCCAAGTTCGTGAATAATTAAATTAATTAGAGGATAACAAGATTTGCCAGCAATGCAAAACAAATTTTCTGAACAAAAAGTTATAATCGGGTATAATAAAAAAAAACATCGCTTACTAAGTTTTTAACATGAGACAGACACGTTAAAATATTGCGGAGTTAAACTAGTTTTTTTTAAGTTCTTAATCTTTATTTTATCTTCATGGATGAAACAAAGGGTACATATATGGAAAACATACATAAATATGAGTTTAGCAAGGCTTTATAATATCGGTATATTATAACAAGGACGTATAACTAACATACGTCCTTGATTATAAACAAAAAGCACATTCATAGGTAAACCGGAACTAAATGTCATGAATAAAGTAGATAAAGGGGTCAGGGAGACAGCAAACCAACGATTTTTTTTTTATTAAACTAAAGTGTGTAGTTTTAAGACTTTTGATCTTCGTTATACCGTCTCTTAAGCTGCTATATTTCTAGTAGAATGTCATGGTGTCTGTCATCGACAGTCGGACTAAAGATGAGATTTTGTATAAGTGCTGATGTAAGTTGACGGTTCCATGCCGGGCAATACAGAAAATTCAAACTTTACATAAATCAGAATGTTGTAACTATAAACAACTAAATATTTAAAATGTTGTTGACTTTATTAGTACTGGCCGTGCGAGACCCTCATGGGTAGTCGAGGTCGTTAACACCCCCCTTTTTAGTAGTTGTTAAGTTCACATTTAAACAAAGTGTCGATGTACTTGTATCTCCCCCCTCGTTACCCAGTTATAAAAAGTTAAACCAGAGTGTCCTCAAGTTACCTATTGTATTTTTTGTTAAAAGTGTGTCAACAACATAAATTATTTCTTTATAACATTATCACCTGGCGTTCGTATATACCGCCTAAGGTTTCATCTTTTCAAATATTTGTAAACTTTTTCAACCATGAAACTGTTAAAAGTTTTTCCAACATTCCAAGTTTCGGCGGCACTCTTAGTTTTTGAGAGACATGTGTTATTTTGGGGGACAGGTGGTTCATTGTTGTGTTAAGGTCATTAGATTTCTCTTTATTCGGCCTTTATGATGAGGTGCCGCGTCTTTGAAGAAGAGGCCCCCGAATACCCCTTTGTCGTCTGATAGCCAAAATTGTCACATAAATTGATCTCATTAGTTTGTCCACACTTAAATTATTTATGAGGTCATTAGTAAACATAAGTCAATCAAAAATAGTGGCTCATCTTATTTCGCATGAATAGTCTCAATTCTATGTTTGAAAGTGAATGTGATCTGTAGAACAGGTTCGAGGTAAATGGCGGTTAATTTTCTCGCTTTTGGAGAAGAAAAAAAACTAATATTGATATTCATTAACTCAGTTTAAAACTTAAAAACACCGGTATTCATAGTTTAATCAATGGTAACAATTATTTTAAAGGAACGCTATAATTTGTTTTTCTTTCAATAAAACATGGATTTTTTTACAAATTTGTCCAATCAGTCCACTTTCCTTCTCCGTGATTAATGGTTCCGAGTCCAAAGAGATCGTATCTCAGGTTTCATGGAATCTGTCGAATCTAAAGCAATAAACTCGCCTTGGATGACCGATGACCCTTCAATTCAAAACCATGTTCATGGAAATGACGGGTCGGTGCCCTCAGAAATATTCCCAACAACGATAATATCTTGGCAAACTTCGGACACGTGCCTAGCACGCGACGTCGCGTGCAAAGCTTGTACTTTTGATGGGAACTTTCAGCGACACTTTCTTTGTGAATATAAATTATAATTTAACCAGGGTTCATATCCCTGACAGCAATATAATTTCATAAATTGATATGTAAGCTGCAACAAAGAGATAATATTCAACTTAAAGGAATACAAGGATATTTATAGAGAAAGTTTGAGAGAAACAATGAGCGTCATATATATACACTTTACTTTTTGTGTGTTTTTTTGCTGTGCATGGACTGATAGTGTGGCATGGATGGGATACCCCATATCCTTTGTTTTTCTGTTAGATTTTTTTCTGTTTTGAGTGATTGATTTCTATGGTTACATTTTCCGTATAACATTTAAATTTTATCTTTTCAACTTCTTTAATAAAATCAATTCAATGGAATTAGAAGGTGAAAGAATTTGTCTTATTTAGTTCAATATATTTGTTATACATGCAACAACACTCTTCCGTTTAACAATGGTCAGATTTTTTTCAAGTATATATGGTTTATTTTAATTTTATATTTTGCGTGTTTGCGTCATTACTTTTTTTACTTTGCTTAAATTTAAAATCTGAATTAAAATGTGTTTTAACAAAATTACATTACAATTGTGTTGTATTTCCACACAACGCTAATCATGATATATAATTATTTAGATATATTTATATTTTTCTAAGTTTAATATTAAATAACTGCACATTTTATTCACATTTACTGTCGCTCTATTTCTTTACGATACGCTTTTATATATTGACTCATAATTGTCGTACACAATTTTTTTTCATTATCATTCAAACCGTCAAAATCAATCGTCGCCAACAAACCATAAAATTCATAAAATCATCAGATGCATTTCAATTTAAATTGTAAATCGATGTCTCACCTGCCGGATATGATAAGCTCCGCCCTATTCTACCTGTCGCGAGCCAGCCACGTGCCTACTTCAATTAAATCCCGTCACCTTTGATTGTCAGATTTAAAAGATAACATTTTTATCAGGTGTCTATCGATTTTTTGACTAATTTCTACAAAATCAGCACAAAGCATATGTTTTTTAATGACTTCGTAATCCGCTTGATTGACCCAACCTTATCACAAAAATCGGTAATGATCTATGATCAAAATAAAGAATATCATTATCTTACATTTCTGACTCGCTGAATAAATCTCGCCATTTCTCACGATGAAGGGAGCACAGAAAAAAATAAAAATGTCGCTTACTCATTCTTTATTTGAACAAATATTTAAATAGGCAGCCTGGTCGATAAAATTAAGAGGTTAGGCAAATTTCCACAATAAGAGTTTCATCAACTTCGTCAAAATCAGAGATATGAAAATAAGATGTGGTGTGATTGCCAACGAGACAAATCTGCACGAGAGAACAAACGACGTGTAAGTAAGCAACTAAAGGTAACCTTACAGCCTTCAACAATGAGAAAATCCCACACCGCACAATCTAATTAAAATATAGAACTCGGATTTCGTTATACTACATATATCCGAGTTCTATATTTTAATTAGATTGCCACACCGCACAGCAAGATATTAAAGGCATCTGAATGACAAATGTAAAACAATTCAATCGAGAAAACTAACGGCCTGATTTATGTACAAAAAAATTAACGAAAAACAATTATGATATACAGCAACAAACGATAACCACTGAATTACAGGCTCCTGACTTGGGACAAGCACAAACTAAATGTGGTGGATTTAAACATGTATGCGGGCGCCCAAACCTTCTCCGAACCTGCGACAGTGGTGCAACAGCACAACGCAAAAACAAACAATACAAAACAAATATGATAAACAGCAACACACGACAACCATTCCATTACAGGCTTCTGACTTTAGACAGGCACATACAGAATATGTCGGGGTTTAACATGTTTGCAGCCGCCCAACCTTCCTCCATACCTGGGACAGTGTTGTAACATCACAAGAAAGTTGTTATTTTAATAATAAAGAGTCTGATTATAGTATATTATTTTTCAGTTTTTTTTACAAATACTTTAATTCAGTGATAAACCAAGCTGTTGAATACAATTTTGTCACGATTTTACCAGTTTTGTTATTCTAAAATTTTGCATTAAATGATTTTTTACCCAATTCTTAAAGCAATAAAAATCTATAAATATCTGCGCAGAACCATAGTTAGTTAACTGGTATCTGAAAGACAATATAGAGCTTCAGTTCTGGAAGAAATTTGGTTTCGTTTAAGAATATTTCGGAAAAAATACATGTACTCAAAATCTTTCAAAAGTT